AAATAGGAAGGGTTTGGAAGTGGGAAATAAATAGGAAGGGTTTGGAACAGACAACCAGTGGTTTTTAGCAAGCAATTCAGATTCCTTGGCTTAACCCAGGCTGGTTCAGAACACAGGTTTAGCCTGATCAGGTACCCCAGGCGGGGAACACAACCTGATAAACTAATTCTACTTTACTGTAAAGCAACCTCGACACAGAATCTTGCAAAGTTTGAAAGTGCGGTTCTCCCACTGTCTCCTTTACAGCCTGAGAAACTAGGCTGGGTCCCTTCTTTTATCCTTTGCCCCCCCACCCATTATGCAGCTGTGGGCTACGCTGCCTCTTATCTGACCGTTTCCTAAGCAGCATCTCTTCTTCCTGCCTCCTAAGGTTCCCCCCCCCACAATACACCGCCCTACAAATGGGCTGGACTTCAACTCCCAGAATCCCTAGCCAACCTGGCTGTAACCTAGTGTGGGGAGCTGAAACCCGACCCACTGGTAGGGCACCGAGGTTGGGGAAGGGGCTACGTTTTTGCCTGTGAGGTAACGATGCAACGTGCCATGGCAGGTTACGACGACTAAAGCGGAGTCGGCGCACAACCGTCGGCACTATAAAGCTGCTGCTCTGGAACTCGGCGAGGTCAAGCGGGAGCTGCAAGCCAAAGAGGTCCTGATCCAGGCTCTCCAGGTTGAAGTCGACAAGTTGCAGTGAGTGTTGAAATGCTGGCGTTTGTCAGGCTGTGATTTGTTGGCTGCCTTAGTCGTGTGTGCAAACTGTGCAAATGAATGAGGGGAAAGGAACCTTGTGTAGCTTGTGTACAGTGAGCTAGAGAAACAACCTACAGAAGGACTGGAGGAACCTGGGGGGGGCGGGGTTAAAAGAGCTATCAGCCTAGAATCCCTATGTAGTCACAAGGGAACTAAGTCCAACCCGGAAGTGATATTCAGCCGGTTCTGACCGGTTCTGGAGAACCGGTAGCGGAAATTTTGAGTAGTTCGGAGAACCGGCCAATCCCGCCTCTGACTGGCCCCGCCAACCCCATCTATTCTCTGCCTCCCATTGAGTCCCAGCTGATTGGCTGGGTTTTCTTTGGTTGCCCTGCACAGGAGAACGGAGCTGGAAAGCAGTTCAGTGGGGTGGGGAGGGAATGGGATTTTGCAGTAACCTTCCCCCAGGAGTGGGGTAGGAGCCTCTGTGGCGCAGTGGTTAGAGTGCAGTACTGCAGGCTACTTCTGCTGACTGCCGGCTGACTGCAATTTGGCAGTTCGAATCCCACCAGGCTCAAGGTTGACTCAGCCTTCCATCCCTTCCGAGGTGGGTAAAATGAGGAGACCCCGATTGTTGGGGGCAAGAGGCTGGCTCTGTAAACCGCTTAGAAAGGGCTGTAAAGCACTATAAAGCGGTATATAAGTCTAAGTACTATTGCTATTTTACAGTATCCTTCCCCTGCCACACCCACCAAGCTACGCCCATAGAACCAGTCATAAAAAAAAAAAATTGAATACCACCACCGGGACGCCAACCCCTTGTTTGAGTGCCGTTGGCCCTTATCTAACTTCTAACCGGCGTTAACTGTGAATTGAGAAGGTTCCTGTGCCTCACTTAGCAACATAAACTTTGAGCTCCGTTGTGGTCCTGAGTCGAGGACTATTTGTAGTCCATATGGGATTGCAACGCGGTCGTTCCCGAGAACGTGGATGTCCCCGAGGTGATTTGAGCCTCTTGTCTCTTCTAGGGGAGAAGACGGGAAGCGCTCCGAGGAAGTCTCGCAGATCCAGCGGGAGCTGGTTGACGCTCGGTCCCAGCTTCAACTTCTGCAGAAGCAGCTGGATGATCAACTGGACAAGCAACCTGTGGAAAATCAAGAGGTGAAAGCTCGGCCTTGGCTTTTCCTTTCCCCCTTGACGCGCTTTACGTGTGCAGCAGAAAAACACCAAGGGAACACAAGTAGAAGAAGACCACAATCGCCAACGAAAAGGAAACTGGGTGGAGAAAATCTGAATTGGTGAAGAATCTATGGTGCAACTGCATTGGAAATGTTTTAGGTGGGGTCCTTGGTGTTCTCTGAGCTTGCTTATTTCCTTGCAGATTGGTCATTACGCAAACTAGGTAACACCATCAATGCACTGATGATTTGGGTCATGAAACGCCTGCAAAAAAAAAAAAACACGACCTCAGAGAGCACCAAGGACCCCTCGTGTCAACCCTGAGCTACAGATATCCTCCTTTATTAATGTTCGGTGTATTCTGAAAAGGCATTTCAGAATTGGGGGGGGGGAACACAGAAGGGCAACCCATAATTATTTCACGTTTCCCTTTAAGGGTAAAGTTTTACATGTTTGGATTTTTAACCGAGGTGGGGAAAGACAAAAGCATTGTTAAGCGTTTTGTTGTCATTGTCCTATTTTATAGCCCGTCAGTACTTGGAATCTGAATATAGGGATCTTATTTGCCCTGCCCCGTACAATATATAATAAAATTGTAGATCTGGCTGCCACAAAATGCCTTCTGGCTCAGTTGGCGTTCCCAAAGGTTGTGTCAGGCTCCAAAAACAGAGTTAATTCTGAGCAGTGTCCTGTATTGTTCCCTGGCCTGTAGACAGAATCTTGCCAAACTCAAGCAAACTTATTTACATCGTGAAAGACGCACACTGAGAACTTCTAGGAAGAAGCTATCTTGATTCTCTTTCTCCTAAATTTTGTTGTCCCTGGGTCCTCTGGAATGCAGCCCCTGGACCCTGCTGGGAAGCCAGACTGCATTCCACCACATATTGAAATCACTTCTTGGAGAGGGAAGGTCTTCATTGGTTTTGAGCCAGGATTGGTAGATGGATCATTCGAATTCTTGAACTGTATTCCTCTGGAATTCCTTCATGGACGATTTGACTGCAGAGGAAAGCCCGCTACTATGTTTTGAACTGCGTGGAAGCCCACACTGGTGCTTATTGACCTCTCCTAAAGGAAGAGTCTGTCCAAAGCTTTCCATGGTTTGACTTGTCTGTCTGTCCTTGCAGTTGGAAGACCTCAAATGGGAAGTTGAACAGAAAGAGGGAGAACTCCAAACTTTGAAGCAACAGCTGGATTTGACGGAGCAACGCAGTCAGAAGGAGTTGGAAGGCGTGCAGTTAGTTCTCCAGGTATTCTCACTGGATTCTACAGATGTTTCCTGCCCTAGACTGGTCCTTCTGAAAGAGTTAGAGGCAAAATAGGATTCCAAAGGAATAAAAACAAGATCAGGGATGTTCCGGGCCTGAATTCAGATTCTGTTTCTCAAAATTTTCAAAATCTTAACAAAGCCTTCTGTTCTAGAAGCAGTGAAAACTTTGCAGCAAGGTTGACACATCACGCTGAGCTAATATGTGGTTCGTTTGGCCTTGGGTTCAGTGTATTGTATGAAGCCAGGGATCGTAGTTGAAAACCACCACACTGGGGTGCTGTGTGAACCCTTGGGATGTAGTCAACACATCCTGGTGGAAATAAATGTTGCCCTAATGTCCGAGCGTTTGCAGTGTCACTACTATTGCGAGACAACCCAAGAGCAAAACACAACACACAGAGGTGTTGTCTTTTTTACACAGTAGTTTATATACAAGACAGCTGTATACATACATATTCATGATAGGCAAATACCTGGCAAGTAAAGAATCTTCTTTACTCTGTACTGAAAACTACAATGTAGACAGAACATAAGGAGAGAGAGATACGCCCTCTCATGGCTTTATATATAGAGACAACTTCTTAAAGTGACAATAACCCTGTGGACCCATTTTCAGTCTTAAAGTGGCAATAACTCTGCTGACTCATCGCATCAGCATTTACAGCAGCCTTACGGCGGCTGGTCAGCTATTAAATCAATACCTTAATAAAGTATGTGAGCTCAGCCAAGGGTCTCCTAAGTAGATATGATAAAATTGTGCTTGAATTAGACTTATTTTTTGCAATGATCATTGCTTACAGTTTGTCATGCCCCTGTCGGACTCTGAATCCAAGGACAACTGACAGGGAGTGGGAGTGTGGCTCTCTTGGCTGTGGAGGAAACTGGGGAAGGGCAAAGTCCAGTTGGGCAAAGCAGGGGAGAGGTAGAACAAGGGAGAGGGAATTCAGAGGAAGACCCCCCTCTTCATCCTAGGGCACGCAAGGAGGAATGGATAAGAAAGCAACGTGGGTTGCGTGGCTTATGGGGGAGGAATGGGCCCTGATTCCCTTCCTTAGCCACAGCTGGGAACACAGTTTATATGAAAGGCAGGCTGTGTATGGCAGGCTGCTGGGAGCAAACATGACTTTATCTTGTGTTGTCGTTGCTTATCTGTCTTCCTGGTATCCTCCCAACCCTGTGAGTTTTGCCATGCCTTCAAATCTGAAATTCTTGCTCCTGCCCTGCCCAACTAATTACTTCAGTTTGGCTTGATTGGACTTTTAAGTTACAGTTTGTGTTAACCATGTTTTGGACTGAATTTTCTCCAGTTAAAGGCTGTTCCTGGGAGAGTTTTTCTCCAGTCAGAAGGTAACCTGGACATTGGGGGCAAAGTTGGAAATAATAAAGGGACTCTTATTGATGATCTGACTGTGTTGCCTTTGTGCCACGCCCCTTTGGGTCATCACACTGTTTCTTGGCTATCCATTCTTCCTTCTAGAACCTCAAGGCGGAGTTGGAGATGGTTCGGGACGATTTGTCCATAACTCAGAAAGATAAGTTCGTGCTCCAAGCGAAAATGTCTGAACTGAAGAACAGCATCAAGACTCTGCTCCAACAGAACCAGCAGCTGAAGCTGGACTTGAAACAGGGGAAAATGAAAAAGGTACCTGGAGATAACGTGGACTGTCCCACCGCTTTCATACTCGCCACTTTCCCGTTAGCCTGGATCCCAAGCCTGCAATCCAGATGATGTTTTGATCTGGAAGTTGCTTTTCTGTTTTTAGCCATTGTGCGGGATTGGATTTATGAGGGGGCGGGGGGGGGGCTCCTGGTTACTGCAGTCCGGGACTACTTCCAGTTAGTCCTCAATGTACAACCACACAGTGAGATATTCGCAATAGCGCTTAGACGTACATACTGTTTCACAGTGCTTCATAGCCCCTCTCTAAGCGGTTTACAGAGTCAGCCTCTTGTGCCCAACAATCTGGGTCTTCATTTTACCCACCTCGGAAGGAGGGAAGGCTGAGTCAGCCTTCAGCCAGTGAGAATCGAACTCCTGGTTGTGGGCAGAGTTAGCCTGCAATACTATATTCTAACCACTGTGCACCATGGATGGATGGATGGATGGATGGATGGATGGATGGATGGATGGATGGATGGAAGGAAGGAAGGAAGGAAGGAAGGAAGGAAGGAAGGAAAGAAAGAAAGAAAGAAAGAAAGAAAGAAAGAAAGAAAGAAAGAAGGAAGGAAGGAAGGAAGGAAGGAAGGAAGGAAGGAAGGAAGGAAGGGGAAGGGAAGAAGGAAAGGAAAGGAAAGGAAAGGAAAGGAGAAAAGGAAGAACAATAGCAATAGCACTTAGAATTATATGCCACTTAATAGTGCTTTTACAGCCCTCTCTAAGTGGTTTACAGAGTCAGCCTCTTGCCCCCCCAAACAATCTGGGTGCTCATTTTACCCACCTCGGAAGGATGGAAAGCCGAGTCAACCTTGAGCCGGTCAGGATCGAACTCCTGGTAGTAGGCAGAATTACCCTGCAATCCTGAATTCAGACTATTGGATGATAGATAGATAGACAGACTAGGCAGACAGAGAGACTGACATGGAAAGAGAGAGAAAGAGAGAAACAGTGAGGGAGAGAGAGAGAGAGAGAAACAGTGAGGGACGGAGGGACAGAGACAGATAGCAAGAGCCCTTAGACATATACAGCATTACAGGACTTTCCATCCCTCTCTAAGCAGTTTACAGAGTCAGCCTCTTGCCCCCAACAATCTGGGTCTCCTCATTTTACCCACCTCGGAAGGACGGAAGGCTGAGTCAACCTTGAGTCAACCTGAAAGTAAGTTTGTTGTTGATGGTCTTTTTTGTTTTTAAAAGAAGAAACTCAAGGGAGAGACCGGTTCAAATCCGGTGACCCCAGTGAAGATTCCCGATTGTCCTGTCCCCGCTGCCTTGCTAGAAGAGCTGCTGAAACCTCCATCGGCGGTGAGTAAAGAGCCACTGAGGAACCTCAACAGCTGCCTCCAGCAACTCCGGTGAGTCACGTTTTCTGCCTTTTTCAACTCCCTATCATCATCTAAAAAATAAAAAATGGCCGTGTGCAAAACCGAAAAGCACCTAGAAAGAAACAATCTCAAATTATGCTGCAAATAATTTGGGAATCCCAAGTGCTATTTTGAGGGTCGACTCGTTTTTTTTACTGCCAATGAATCTCCTCACATTCCTAAAACAAAGGATTGGGGTGAGGGGCTGTTTTTCCGATTTTGGGGGCCTGGGAAACGAATACAGATGGTTCAGCAGGATTCTTCTTAATAGCAACAGCAGTTAGACTTATACACCGCTTCACAGGGCTTTACAGCCCTCTCTAAGCAGTTTATGGAATCAACATATTGCCCCCAAGAATCCCCATTTTACCGACCTTGGAAGAATGGAAGGCTGAGTCAACACTGAGACAGTCAGGATCAAATCCCAGGCTGTGGGCAGAATTAGTCTTCAGTACTGAATTCTGATAGAAGATAGGTAGGTAGGTGGGTGGGGGGATGGATAGATGATAGACAGACAGACTGAACAGACAGACAAATAGAGTTGACAGCCAGAGAGTGAGAGAGAAACTAAAAGACAGAGAGAGAGAGAGAGAGTGCAACATAGATAGCAATAGCCCTTAGATCAAGCTCTCCAAACTTGGCAACTTGAAGACTTGTGGACTTCAACTCCCAGAATTCCTCAGCCAGCATAGGTGGTGAGGAATTCTGGGAGTTGAAGTCCGCAAGTCTTCAAGTTGCCAAGTTTGGAGACCTGACTGGGCAATTCTGGGAGCTGAAGTCCACGAGTCTTCAAGTTGCCAAGTCTAAGCCATTTACAAAGTCAGCGTATGGGCCTCAAACCATCTGGGTCCTCATTTTACCGACCTCACAAGGAGGGAAGGCCGAGTCAACTTTGAACCAGTCAGGACCGAACTCCTGGCAATTGGCCAGCGAGTCAGCCTGCAATGCAGCATTCTAACCCCCTGAACCACCACGGCTCTAAACCGTTGTTGTTTCTCTTCCGCGTTTCTGACCGTCTGAAAGGCAAGAGATGGACAGCCTGCAGCGTCAAATGGAAGAGCACACTGTGACGGTCCACGAATCGATGTCTTCCTGGACACAGATCGAAGGCCAGTTGACAGACCTCACTAGTAATCTTTCTGTAACTCTGTTAGCCAATGAGAGTCTTCCTCACACAGACCTCCAGGATCATAAGCCAAACACGGACGTCCAGGAAGAGGTGACCCAGTGATCCCAAGGCCCACGGATTTCCATCAGAACTGCTTTAAGTATGTTTAAAAAAAAAAAGAGAGAAGTATTTATCAAAACCCTATTTATATTTTGTTCTTAAACCTTTTAGAGTCTTCAGTCTACGGTTCGTTTTAGCAAACGGGGAATTATTTTTTTTTTGAAGGCCGTGGCTTGATCAGACAAGCAGAAATGGAAATGGTGGGCTGGAAAGGAGGAAAGGATGTGAGGTTTGCTGTATTAAACTTTTGAGAACTAAGGATTTGGATTAGGATGTCTGCAGAAAGAAGACAAAACAGGGTCCCTTTTAGTTTCCGGTTTTTTGGGAATTTTGTGACTGTTAATGGATACTCCACCAAATCCAGTATTTTTTTAATTATGGTATCTTTTGATTCATATTCCAACACATCAAGCAACCAAATTGCTCGTCGCGGAACCACAGTGAAGCTGTTTATCCAATGGCACCAGTTGGCTCCTAAGCAAATAATTTCCCAGTAAAAGGTTTGGATTCCTCTTCTGACAGATGCTGTTTGCACATTTTTCGTTGTTGTTTCTCTTTGCAGACATCTGCAGGATGGAATTGTGGGTGAGGTTACTTTGTTCTGGAGCCTCTTACATATATATGGATTCTTCTATAGATTATAAAGCACCTGGGTCGGGGCTTGTGTGGTTTTTTGGGTCTTACTAAAGGTGACTTGTTAAGTTTTTGGTGTCCTGCAAAACATGGTGTGGATGTGGGCCCGAGAAAGCTAAAACCAGAGCTTTTTAGACATTTAATTCACTTATTTATCTTTCAAAGAGAAATGTTCTATTCTGCCTATAAAATCCTAGTTTCTTAGCTTTAATTCCATCCTCCACCCCATGGCTTCCTCTTGAGACTTAACCAGGAGCCAGAATTCATGTACTGTTTTTTTTTTTTTGCAAAATGCGTCTTCATTTATAATTCATCGGTTGAAATACTATAGTTTCTTTAAATTGTTTCTCGACAACTGACAGCACCTTTTTGTGCTCTGGGTGGAAAGACGGGATTTTTACCCAGGCAAAATTGTACTGTAGGATATGCTAGGAAATAACAGGAAGCGTGAATGGAGAACACAAAGGTAGGAGATATTGTGAGCTTGGCTGGAAGTTATGGATGCTTGAGGTGAGACTCAGATGAGGGAGTCTCGTCCAAGATCTTAGCAGATACAATTGTGAAATCAGCAGCTGTGAGTCTCACCCTGTCTTCATGCACACCGCATTTACGGGAGCATACCAGACTGCCCCTACAATGCCACATCGTCCAGAGCTAAACCTAAATCTAAAGTTTAGATAACTTCACGGATTAAACGTGATGAAGGACATTTTGGAGCAGGACTAACAGGTGGAGACAATCTATAAATGAAATTTCTGTTTCAACAGTCTGACCAAAAAAAAAAAAGCTCCCAACTTTGAGTGGTATGGATTGATTGAATGCGGAAGGATTATTTTCCCCAGTATTTGTAGAAATGTCACTCTGATTTTCCTGTTAAAGCCAAGACATTTTTTTTCACTAGGTATTCTGCTTTTTCTCAAAACGGACTTTAGATAGGCACTTTGATTGTTCAGCTTTTTCCAACCTGAGTTTCGATATTTTTAATATTCTGATTCTGAAACTTCTGTCAGGCATTTTTTATTTTTATTTTCATCTAATACGTGAAGGAAAGGTGGTTTTTTTAAATGTAAAGCTTTCTACATTTGAGAGGAAGGAATCTCAGATACGCTTAACTATTTGATAAGACTAATCCAAACTTATCAAAACACCATCTTGAAGGCTTTATGGGTCAATTTAGACAGGTGGTAACTTTTATTATAAAGTTGGTTTTATACAGTAAAATAGCAATGGTTTTTTTTGCCGCTCATATCTGTGAAGCTTATATATTTGCTAATGTATGCAAGAAATACTGTAGTATTTAAACACCAAAGTCAATATTACGTAATGAATAATATGTATACGATCCTTCCAAACTTTGCTGTTCCACTTAGTTGTTTGCATTTTACAATTTTTGATTTACTCATGAAGAGTTTTCTGAGTGTGCTATCAACGGTCATAACTGAAAAAAATACTCCTTCAACAATTTTGGAGAGGTGAAGGGGCAAAAACAGAGTTGTATTTTTACTAAATGAAAAATCCATTTCTCCCGCTTCCCTTTTCCAGACCGTCTTATTTATACTTCCCGTGGCTTGTCATTTTGACTAGGAAAGAAGTGGATTGTGTAAGTCTGGGAATCCCTGACTCCGCAAATTTCCTCTCGAAAAAAATATTTAATGTCATTCTCTCTTTTTAAAAGTGCTATCATTTAATTCATACTTCGAGAAACCAGGGTTGTGAAGGGCTCTCCACCTGCACTTTCAGACTAATCAAGATCTATAAATCATTCAGGGTGGTCCCTTGTGGTTTTTATTTTTAAATATTCAAAATAAATAATAGAGCCATTATGGTTATTGCATTTTTTCTTACAAAATGAAGGTTTATTTATCCCTGGAAGGTAACAGCTAGATGTGACTGTTTTCAGTGTTTTTCTGAATATTAGCAGAGGTTGGTTCTGAAGGCTTAAATCTGTCATTGTTCACAGTAATTTTCTGCAGTGCAGCAATATGGTGACTATTAATTCACCTTACGGTCTTCCAGGTTATTTGGAGACTTACGCGTTCTGTGAACTTTTTCCTTATGCATCGTCAGTTTCATTTTCCAATCTGGCAATGCTTGTCTCATTCTACCAGGAAAAAAAAAATTCTGCTTGAAAGAAAAATACTTCTTCCAGAGGGAAGCAGGCTTTGAAAGATGCTTTGGGAAAACTGGTCCTTCTCTAAATCAAAATTGTAGTTTTTACTTTTTGGGTAAGCAGCTGCACTAAGTCAAAAGGGAGCACTGATGCTAGCTATCACCTTTACAATTATGTCACTGACTTTTTGAGTGACAGATATGTAATAAAAGTAAAGTTGCCTCACTTTAGAAATTCTGGTCAAACAGTCCCATTTATAATGAGGATCTGTTTCAACGTAGTTTCAAAGTTTTTCTTCCCCTTGCTTGAAAATGCAGAACACTTACCCTCTGAGATGGGAAAATTTTAGATTCTTACTCATAGGAATCTCTTCTGTTACAGTAGCCAATGCAGAATATTCTTTTCCCAAAAGAACATCATATGCATATCATTTTATCACATTTTTTCTTGTTCCCGGCAAACGGTTGTCTCATTCTATTTAATGAGGGGGTGGAATTGTCATTTTCATAACATGTTTGAGTGAGTGTTCCAAAGGAAGAGTTTAGATGTGTTTGATTCAAGATTAATAATTGTGCTTTAAAAAAAAAAAACAGGGCATGTTAATTTAAGAAAAATCTTTAAGATACGCTAAACATTCTTGAAAGGTTTTGTGCAATAAACTATTTTTCATTAAAAAAAAGAAAAGATGTGCCCACTGCGTATTTTAACTCTATGGTGTGTATTTTAACTTTATAGGAGAGCCATGTTAAGTCGACGCCAGTCGTGTTGTCTGTGATAATTTGAGTCCAGCCATTTGTGCCTTGAGTGGGAAGGCTGGGATGGTTTGGTCAGTGATCTATTTATTTTTTTGGCTGCCTACTGTAATGCTCGTGTGTCCAGCTCTCCTTTAAATTGTTGGAAGAAATATCTGGGTTCAGTTCCAAGTGGGGAAAAAAGACACTGGAAACTTGGAGGCTGTTCGGAAAGATGGTTTAATAGTGGACAGGAACACATGGCTTGGAGTTCCAAAGAAGGAAGGGATGATCACATGCTTCAAGATGTTGGGTGAAGGAAAAGAAGGGTGAGCTGAGATGCTGAGAGTCCCTTATATACCTTCTGTTGGGCCCCACCTTCGGGTTTCCTGTTCCTGTGTAAGAAACGTATCCCACCAGCTGTCAGACTCCCAGGGGCAGGAGGGCCTTAGGTAACTTTGTAGGCTTTGTCTGGACCACCAGGCTTCACCTGAGTGCTGGCTGATCTTCCCAGGCCAGGTGGTGAGGTGGGTAGAGGCCTTTGTTATGTAGAATACTCTGGCCCAGGCCTTAATAGCCCACCCATTAACAAAGGTGGCGGGGGTGGTGGTGAGCTTCTGCCTCTCTGAGTTTCTACTTCTCTTTTTAGGGGAAATATTCTGCCTTTTTAGTATATCCCAAAATATTTCATTTTCCTAGGAGAGGGGTGGGTTTTAATGTCCAACAAAATCTACATCCCATCAATTGTACAGGTAGCCCTCGACTTGCAGCAATTCATTTAGTGACCGTTTGAAGTTACAACAGCACTGGAAAAAGTGACTTAGGGGCATTTTTCACACTTGTGACCGCTGTAGCGTCCCCGTGCTAACGTGATCAAAATTCAGATGCTTGGCAACTGACTCATATTTACGACGACTGTTTCGTCCAGGGATCAGGCAATCCCGTTCTGCGACCTTCTGGCAAGCAATGTCAACGGGGAAGCCAATTTCACTTAACAAAACCAGGTTGCTGGCCTAACAATGGCAGTGATTCACTTAACAACGGTGGCAAGGCATAAAAGGGGGCGAAACTCAAATGAACAAATGACTCATTTAGCAACATAAATTTTGGGCTCCGTTGTGGTCATAAGTCGAGGACTACCAGGACCCTTTTTAAAAAAATAATTGATTTCTGTAATTGAAATAATTGATTAGAAATCAATTATTAGAAATAATAGAAATGATTTGCCTTTGATTGTTTCCTGTTTCTTTGACCTTAACAAACAAGGAGTGGATTCTGATGAAAAAGACCAGATCAGAGATTTAAAAAATTGGCCAGAAAGTTGAACTTTAGTCAACTCATAATAATTTGGAACCAGCCATTTGCAAAGATAAGCCGCCTTTGCAAACCTAAGAGCTAGAAAGTTATAAACCTAAGAGTTAAGCGCAACGTGGCTTTGCTGGAGAACTTGGCTGCATTCTCCACTTCCGGTTTCCATGCGGCTCCGCCGACGCCACTCATCTCCAGCCTTTGCGTGGCAGCTTCGGAGGCTTCAATCGGAAACCGGAAGTGTTTCCCTTGCGGATCCTTTTCTCTGCCCTTCAACTCAAGCCGTTGCCGGGGGCAACCGAGCTGGCACTTTCTCAAAGGCGACAGTTGGGATGGTGGGGCTCGTCCACAAGATTGGACTACACCTCCCATGCCCCGCAGGGATTATGGGCTTGTCTCCTATTCATGGCGGAACTGAGCCGTCGAATTTCTTGACAAGGGCTTCCCGTCAGGCAGCGCGGCACGCTCGCCTGCCCTCCCCCACTCTCTTGCGTGTGACGTAGCGGCCCGCGATTGGTCACCTCGGCGCCCCTTTCAAACACCCAAGGGCGCGCGAGAGGGGCCGCTTCGCTGTCGAGGCTTCGCGACCACCGGGGAGAAGCCAGCACCCGGCCTCGGCCTCCTCCTCCTTCTCGACGGGGCACAAGAGCCGATGCCTTCGGCGCAGGCATTCTCGCGGACAGCCCCGCGCGCGGACGTCCGTTGGAGCGCCGGGGGTGGTGGCGGTCGTGGCCAGGAGTCGCCTGGCGCGCGCGAGGTCGTCTGCGCTTGCGCACCGGCGCGTGGGGAAGGGAGCGCGACGGACGCCGGGAAATCCCTCACGAGGTACCGCCCGGGGTTTATTTCCCCCTCCCTCCCTCCCTCCTCCTGCTTGTGCGCCTGCGTAGTGGCGTCTGTCGGCCGGGGAAGCGATGGAGCGCTGGGTGGCGGGCGGCTTGTGGCGGGCCGGCTGGGCCGGTTGGCCCGCCTGGGAGCTGCTGGCCGCCTGCGCCGTGATCGGCGCGCTGGGCTGGCTGCTGCGGCTGCTGGAGCGAGGCCCGCGGGGTCGAGGTCCGAGGCCCAGCGCGACGCCTCCGTCCCCGCCGCCGCCTGCTGAGGAGAGGCCTCCGCGCTGCTTCGACCGCTGCGATGGAGGTGAGAGGCCTTCCCCCGCGGCTGCCTTTCCGCTCCCTTCTCCCAGCACCGCCTCCCTGCCAGGTAGGCCTCGGGAGGCGCCTTGGGGATGATGGGGGCGGGAGTCCCCAAGCGCCTTGGGTGTGGGGCGGGTGGCGGGGCGGGGTGCCTTGCGATCCAAAAGGGGGGAGGAGGTTTGGTTAATTCCAGGAATAAGGGAGAAAAAGAAGGGGTGGGAAAGGCCGTGGGGATGGGAGACCACCGGGTAATCCTGGAGGAGCAGGTGAGGCGAGCAGAAGGGAGCCGCCTGGCTGCTCTTCTCCCATGGTCTGAATGGTTTAGCTTGCCTCGCTTTGGCATCGAACCATTTGGGAAGAAGCCCTCTGGGCGTTTCACAGCAGAACAGAGTCTGGAGGGACCTTGGAGGTCTTCTAGTCCATCCCCTCTGCTCCAGCAGGAGACTCTCACGCGTGCATATTTATATGTTGGGCCTCATTTCTACTATTTCACCCTTTTCCTGAAAAACCATCCGAAGAAGCGCTGTGGTTCCCTGCCCTAATCCCACCTAAGGCTCAAGGAAAAAGCATAAAACCTTTTTTTTTTTAGCCAGGTTGGTTTAATGGTTAAGGTGTACAGCGGTGAGTTCTAGTCTTGCCTTAGCAATGAAAGATGGCGGGGTGACTTTGGACCAATCACCAGGAGACTGGGAGTTCTCGTCCCGCCTTTGGCATGAAAGCTACCTGTGTGACTTTGGGCCAATTACCAGGAGTCTGGGAGTTCTAGTCCCGCCTTAACCATAAAAACCGACTGCGTAATTTTGGGCCAATCAGCAGGAGACTGGGAGTTCATGAAATCTACCTGGGTGATCTTGGATCAGTCCTCCTCAACCCACCTTACAGGGTTGTTATTATGGTGGAAATAGGAGGAAGGTGTATTGGGTATAATTGCTGCCTTGGGTTTTTATAAAAATAAATAATAATCAAACACTTCCCATAATAGGCCTATGAAAAACAAGGCATAAAGTTACCCTTTCCTTTTCCTCCTCCTCTCTTGCTCCTTGTATCCCGCAGCATCCAAGTCCAGCCATCAATGCAAAAAGATGGCAATTATGACATCTGATGCAACTACACAAATTGCATCATGTGCCAGTTGTCAGGATGCCTGTGCCTTCACTTGGTTTCTCCCCCCCCCCCCGCCCCCCCCCTTGTGGATTCCCATGCTATATTTATTTTGGTTATGAAGCCCCCCCGGGGATGCACAGACTATCACTATGTAGGCAGATGAGACTGCCCAAATGTCAAGTAATTCTGAAAAGTTTCCTATTTCAGGGATATTCACATGGAAATGCAGAATTTTTAAAGCAAAAATGAAAAGACGTTCTCTCCATGGTAGTTCCAATTTAGATTCTTAGGTTCGCTAAACACGGTTGTTTAAATTGAGTAACATGTAAGCATACTAAGAAAAAAAATCATTAGTGCCTAAAAATAGTTACAATATTTCTGTTCTCTGGTATTTGTTTTGGTTTCACATCAAAGCCGGTACTTTTTCTTGGGAAAGTTAAACATGCTTGGGATATAAAAACAAATCCTAGTTCCCTGGTGAAATTAGATTAGTTAAAGCATTCCCAACAAATATTTATTCAGACTGCTTGAGTCACTAGCAAAGGGTTTGCTTTCTGGATATTGATTTTACTGTTGCACCCAATGTGGTCAATGACATGAAAGCAATATGTATTTATACATTTAGATTAAAACTTTTATTGAGTGGTATTCTCCATTTGTGGTCAACAATAATAACGTTTGCAAGGATGTCAACATATCTTAGAATATTCAAATTCCGTTGAATCCAAAGATGTATCTAGTCCAGAGGAACCATTTAAAGATGACTTGACATTTTGGCTGGATTCCCAAGAAGGTACTAAATGTTAAATTAACATTTCTTTGGCAGTGTCTTCAATTTGAAACAATACAGAGTGGGGGGGGGAAACCCCAAAGGAATCTTATGGCAGGAGGACCAATTTATTTTCCATTTTAAAAGGAACCAATTCACTTTCGAAATCCATGATTTTGTGGAAAGTTGGTAGCAATTTTCTATTCTAGAACATTGGTAAAATTAATATATCCAATATTCTTACTCCATCAAAACATTCTGTTTATTTATGTCTATTTCCAGTCTTCAGCTGCAGCTTTCCTTTTACGGTTGAGATTTTCCTCTTCTTTCGTTCTATTTTTAAATTAGGAAGCAGAAGTGTATTTAAGCATTCTGCCAGGTGCTTAATGATTAAGATCTCGAATAATTCTCAGAATGTTGGCTGCTAACATTAGGTCCTGTGCTAAAGCAGAAATAGATTAAGGGCATCCATTAAAGGTCTGACCTGCTTTTTTTAAATACTGCAGTAAATTTGAAGATTGAACGTATTCAATTAATTAGTTATTAAATGCATTTCAGTCCAGCTGTAACCGAGTTTATCAAACTGTTCTTTTTTAAAGGTGTTGTTTTTTTTCCTGAGTCTTTTAAGTATGATGCCCACAAGTGGACACAGTGTTTTAGGGGGTGCCTAGCCCCATTAGCACGCTGGCTGGGGACTTCTGGGAGTGGAAGTCCTCGCATTTTATAGTTGCCAAGGTTGAAAAACACTCATCCAACCAACGTGGAACATAATGGATCAATACTTCTTTTGACGCTGGCTATATTTGCATAGTTTTTTTAACCATACAGGTTAATCCTCAACTTAATGACCACAATTGAGCCCAAAATTACTGTTGCTAAGTGGGACATCTTGCCAAGTGAATTTGGCCTCGTTTTACTTGTTTTCCCGTTGACTTTGCTTGTCAGAAGGTGATCACATGATCCCGGAACTCTGTGTCCATTGCCAAGCATCTGAAGTTTGATCACGTGACCATGGTGATGCCGCAATGGTTGTAAGTGTGAAAAACGGTCATAAGTTGCTTTTTTCCCAATGCCGTTGTAACTTCAGTCCCTAAATAAACTGTTGCAAGTCGAGGACTACCTGTATTTCTGACTAAACTTCTACTAAAAATGGCCTCTGCTTTTCCTCCTTCCCCCCCGCCCCCCTTACAGGGAGGATAACAATGGATGAAATCTTTTCCCGATTAAAGCAACTGACCCCCGATGAGCTGAGAGAAGAGATCGTCCACGCTGGCCTGAAATGCGGGCCCATCACCCTGACCACCAGGTCCATTTTTGAAAAAAGGTTGGCCCAGGCTTTATGGGACCAGCAAGGAGCCTCCGAGGCCACGGCTCCCTTTTCGAACGGCGTCCCTGGAACTGCTGCCAGTGGCGGGAACCAGCCAGAATCGGGAAGAACCAATGGCCACCTTGCCTCTCCCGAGGAGGGGGATTTTGGCTACAGCGTGGGACTGAACCCTCCAGAGGAGGAAGCCCTGCTGCACGAAGCGAATGGCTCCCCCGCTCGTTCCCAGAATCCCTCCAAGGAGCCTGTGCTCTACTATGGGGTGTGCCCGGTGTACGATGACATACTGACCAGAAACGGTAAGCGTTTCTTTTATTAAGAATGGACAGTCGTTGATGATCTCTTTGTGCAGTAGCACGACTTAAAACCATTCATTTAAAATGTCTGTGGAGGTTCTCGGTCATCCAGGTCATGGTTGTCCCAAAGGTGCAAAACATGGTTGTCCCAAAGGTTTTCTTTTTCAAGAGGCAGCTGGACTTTTCTTGGTTTTTTTTTCTTTTCTTTTGAAGACGATTCGCTTCTCATCCAAGAAGATCCTTCAGCTCAGACTGGACGGTGGGGAACGGAAGGAGTGATGCTCTTTGAAGACAGCTGATGATTCGCATCCTTTTAGACCAAGGGTCTTCCAACCTGGCAAGTTTAAGACTTGTGGACTTCCAACTCCCAGAATTCCCAAGCTAACACGACTGGAGGAGGAATTCTGGGAGTTGATGTCCACAAGTCTTAAACTTTGCCAAGTTTGAAGACTCCTGTTTTAGAGGGTTCTTGAAGCCACTTGGGGGTTGATATGATCAGCTTGTCTGCAAGGCGTATAAATCCTTCCCTTCCCCACCATCCAGTCAGAGCTGAAGAAGCTTCTTGGATGAGTAGCGAAACGTCTTTTTTTAAAAAAAAAAAAACACCAAGAACGTCCAGTTGTCTCTTGTCCCCGTGGCCCTTTGGCTTAGTCATATTTCTGACACTTGCAGCCTCCTGGGGTCCTGTGATCACCATTTGCGACCTTCCCAGACAGCCTCCGACACACGGAGTCCATGGGGGAAACCATTCACCGCTCAATTCCCTTAGCTATGGCCAAACCGGTCATCAAATAAGACAAAACACACTTAAAGAGCCACCTTGCTTCGTAATGGAAGTTTGGGGCTCAGTTGTGGTCGCAAATCGAGGACCAGCTGTCCTATAAACACATAACTCCTGACAGCCGCTCCCTGAAACTAGCCAGGCTGCTTGGTGCTGATGGATCTTGCAGTCCCAGCAAAATCTGTCTTTCTGCAGACAGCAGGCAGTTAGCTGCCTTAAGAGTCTTGAGACTCCGTCATGTGAGACAAATGCCAACGAGGCTTAATTGATGGCTTTCTTGCAGCTGGGCCGGCCAGTGAAAAATTCACCAGGCGGGCATCGATTTCCCGCGCTTAATGTGCACACAGCACCAGCGTGGTTGAATTACTGGAGAAGAAATGGGCGTTGAAGGAGACCTTTTAGTGCGATAGCAATAAATGCTCGGCATAAAAATAGCAGCGGTACCTTTTCAAGGATCGATTCTTTTTTTTTTTTTTTTTTCAGGGATGTGATACTTAGCGAAAATAAATTTCCTAGCACAAATTATGTAGTATGATTTTGAATTCGTTTGGTGGCTCATGTGTGTCCTCCCCCTGTGCAAAATTCGAACATTTGGGGTACAAAAATACTGGGGTGTATGTGTGTCTTTACCAAAGAGATCGGCTGGATGTATTAAAGGATGATTTAATATAGCCGTAAAAGGAAGGAGACAACCCTGCATGAATCTTAAGCTTGGAAGCTTCCTCCATTCCTACCCACCACCAGCACCTCGCTTGTTTTTGGAATCGCAGCTATTTTTCTGTTTCTGTTAAGAGGAGCCCAGTTGTTGGTTACATCCAAAACTGGCAATCTTCAGTTTGCTGAATTCAGGGATAACCCCATAGGCTAAATCCATCTTGCCCAATTTTTCCCTTCTTGAAAGACGGATTTTTCTCTCCTTCCAACTCTTAGTTCTTACCTTAATAGGCCCTTCAGGCTGAATTCCCAATTCTGAATTAAAGATTGGTTTGTTCCAACAAGATAAGATCAAGCTGTTAATTGCAACCTGTTTTTGAACTATAAAATAAATAAATGGAAGAAATAACAAGGCCCCAGAAGCTGCAACAGACTCTTTGAGGCTCCTTACAACAGTGCCGGAGGACATGAAAACATACACTGTAAAAAAAATAAATCGCTTTTTTTTTAATGTTATCTCTGACTTGGAGCCATGATTTTAAGCAAATTAAGTTCCTTTCAAAAGGTTGTTTAGTTTCTCAAGGAACAAAATTGACTTGCTGATGAAAAAACAACCCAGTGTTGCATCATAATCTTAGTGAGATGATTTTAACTTGTTTGTAGCTGTTGTTTTCCAGTATTGATGGTGTGTCCTGTGGCTTTAATTAAATTCCTCTTCGCAGTTTTGACTAGAATTGATCGGTTAGGTGGAAGGCCCTAGAAAAAAAATTGCAGATGATGTTCTGTGATATCGTAGTTATTGCCCCCCAAGGTAAAACTCGCCAAAAAGCAAGCTTTAATTGATCTGTTTTCTGCTATAAATCGTCATCTCATAAAGTAGCCAAACAGGATTTGGGATTAAAAATAGAAGGACAGATTGCTTGACTTGGCGTTGCCTCCTGCTTTCATCGGAGCTGAATTTACTTCACTGCTGTTTTGTTTTGTTTTTTCCCCCAGAGAGGGTTCATGTCTATGAGGACAAAAAGGAAGCTTTGCAAGCTGTAAAAATGATTAAGGGGTCGCGTTTTAAAGCTTTCTCAAACAGAGAAGATGCAGAGAAATTTGCAAAAGGTGTATGTGATTACTTCCCGTCTCCAAACAAGTCTGCCATCTCTCTGTCTCCTGTCAAAGTCTGTTCGGTCTTTGGTAGAGGTAAGCGGGAGGCTTCAGCGTGTTCCACAAGGGCTTTTAGGGTTAAATGGCTTTTAGACTGCTTTAAACACCGACTGTTACTATAAAGAAGGATGGGATGGGCTTTAGAAATGAACTTGCAGCGTTATGAAAAAGAGAAGCTAATCGAGGGGCAATCAGCAGTGAGGGCTGCTTAGCAGGCTTAACAACCAAGCGGAGGGTAAAAATGCTGAAAGTTAGCATTAATCCTATTATGGAGGGCTGCAGGTGCTTGTGCCTGCCTTGGCGTTTTGAAAATTCAGATTTTAAATTCACGCTATTATTCAGTTGACGAATGAACCGAAAGCTAACCTGGGTGCCACTTCAGACCTTTGTACGTAGAAGTAAGTTTTGCACTCTGGAAATGCCGATGGATGTCTTTGTGTTGCGTCAGGAGTGTACGCCCAATGCTATTTATATCTTTTTAACAGATGGCTTGTGCTCTCCGGAACTGGAAACGGTCAGCAAAGAAAGAGCCAACAGTTACAAAAGCCCCCGTACCCAGGATCTGACTGCAAAGCTTCGGAAAGCCGTGGAGAAAGGAGACGAAAGTACTTTCTTAGAACTCATCTGGAGTAATCCTCGCTATCTCATCGGCTCTGGAGACAATCCGACGATTGTCCAGGTAAAGAAAATTGTTTTTTAAAAATGGTGTTTTGGCCATTATCAGCTGCAGGACCAACAGATCCATTTTTTTTCTTCCTCTCCCCTCCAGACGTGATTGTTAAGGAAAACGTGTAGCTGCCTTGGGCCAGTCTTGGGCATCCGAGTAATTTATTTATTTGTATTCCACCTTTATGACAAATAACTCAAGGTGGTAAACATACTTAATATTTCTTCCTGCTATTCTCCCCTACACACACACACACACACACACACAAAAAACAATCCTGTGAGGTGGATTGGGCTTAGAGAAAGGGACTGGCCCAAAGTTACCCAGCCAGCTTTCATGACTAAAGTGGGACTAGAACTCCCAGTCCCCTGGTGATTGGCCTAAAGTCACCCAGGTAGCTTTCATGCCTAAGACGAGACTAGAATTCCCAGACTCCTGGTGATTGGCCCAAAGTCACCCACCTGGCTTTGATGCCTAAGGGGACTAGAATTCCCATTCACCTGGTGATTGGCCTAAAGTCACCCAGCTGGCTTTCATGTCTAAGGCCAGACTCCCAGTCACCTGGTTTCTAGGCCAACACCCTAACCACTACACCAAACTGACCCCAAATACACCAGTTTGGTGTGACATCCTGTTTCTCTTTATCAGCTAACTTTGAGGCCGATAGCAGAGTCTGGAAAACAGCACACACACACACACACACACACACACAGGAAGTTACGTTTATGCTGGACTGGAGGAATCCCCAATGGTGACGCCCTCTGTTCTTTTTTCTAGGAGGGGTGTCGATACAATGTCATGCATGTGGCTGCCAAAGAGAATCAACCTGGCATCTGCCGGCTGCTGTTGGACACTTTGGAAAACCCAGAATTTATGCGGCTGATGTACCCTGACGACGACACCGTCATGTTGGAGAAGCGCATCAGTTACATAGTGGATCTTTATCTGAACACGCCAGATAAAACGGTGAGCCTGGAAATCAGATCCGCCCAATCCGCACAGGAACAGTATATAATAATGGATTATTCATACATTTATTTTATTTTATTTTATTTTGGTAGGTATTTGATACTCCGCTGCACTTCGCTTGCAAGTTTGGGAATCCAGAAGTGGTCGGTGTTCTTGTTTCCCATCCGGCCATCGTAAAGAATCCAAAAAATAAATACAGTCAAACTCCAGCAGATGTAAGTTGCATTCAAAGCATGTGATAAATGTCTTGATCTCACATTATTCACTTTACACCTCAGCAACCTTTAAGACCTGCGGATTTCAATTCCCAGAATGCCTCAGCCAGCGTGGCTGACTGAGGCATTCTGGGAGTTGAAGTCCACAGGCCTTAGTTGCCAAGGCTATGAAATGATGCTTTATAGCTCAGTTCCCCTTTTATTTTTAAGTATAGAATACGAGGCGTCTTAACTTAACTAACACACCTTACGCCTTCTTGCCTAACAGGTAATCTGTGAAAGGAACAAAAACAAATCGGCAGATCTGAAAGCAAAAATCAGGGAACACTTGGAAGGTTTGTATTTCACGTTGGCATCGTATGGGGCATCGTTTTACCACATCGGCTTAGGGGCTATTCGAAAAGCAAATGGCACAACTCAGAACCAAAAAGATATTTAGTGCAGAATTTTATTTTTTGACTGATATCAAAGCAGCCGTATTTTAAGCGAGTAAATATTTTAAAATTTAAGGATTTGCAGGCGGTGATGAAGTTGAGAAATATTTCATACACCAGACGCGTACAAAATTCTGCCAGTTCTTTGGAGGCTCTGCCCCTGATTCTCCCTTTTGATCCTTTGTGAACCAGGCCAGTGTTATGTGCCTCTCTTCAGAGCGGAAGATAACGCCACTTCCCCCATGATTGGCGCCCCGTGGTCCCCGGATCAAACCGAGAGCAGCCCACTCGCTTCTTTGCCCAGATACCTCGGCAGCCCCAAAGACCCAATGCTGACAGTCAGGGCTTACGCGGGGCCTCTGAGCCCTTCCAAGGTAAGGAGAGCAAAGAGGCTCTTCGCGGAAGCGCCTCCTTCTGTTTTGATGGCGTATCGCGAGACGGTGAGAATGAGCAGCGTGGTGGCCTGGTGGTGAGGACGCTCGGCTCCCCCTCGGAAGATGGAGAGTTAAATCCCAGGTGTTTCTCAGTCAGATGTTTCTCAGGGCGCAAAAGAGGAAAATATCTGCTGTGAACACCGCGTAGGTGTCAGGAAGGGCACCTGGCCAGCAAACGCTCAGTCTCTACCCTGATTTAAGGGATTAGAGGATCGTAAAAAGGACATTATTTTTATTGTGGGACTGTGAAACTAGACTGAAGATGCCATGTCTTAAAACAGCTGGCTGAGGAATTCTGGGAGTTGAAGTCCACAAGTCTTAAAGTTGCCAAGGTTGGACACCCCTGTCTTAAAAGATGTAGCGGGCATGGAAGTTGGCCGGGCCAGGGAGCTATAGGCAGTCCTCAGCCTATGACCACAACAGAGCCCATTTTTTTTTTGCTGTTGCTTAGCGAGACAGTTCAAATGTTGAGTTTTGCCCCGCTTTGTGACCTTTCTCGCCACTGTTAAGCGGCTGCCTGCGGTTGTGAAGTTAGTAGCGTGGTAGTTGGTTGAATCCGGCTTCCCCATTGACTTCGCTTGTCAGGAGGTTGCAAAAAGTAATCACATCTCAAGCACACACCCACATTGGGGGAGGGGGGGGCACTGCAGCCGTCATAAATGTGAGCCAGTTGCCAGGCATCCAGAGTTTGATCACATGACCACGGGAATGTTGCAACCGTTGTGTGAAACACGCCCATAAATCCCTTCTTTTTTAGTGCCGTTGTATCTCTGAACACTCGCTAAGTCAATGGCCGTTAAGTCAAGGACTGCCTGTGCATAAGTTAATAACCATAACAATTTAACAATATTATTATTGGAGCCTCTGCGGCGCAGTGATCAGAGTGCAGTATCGCAAGCTACTTCTGCTGCAGCCAGGTGCCTACAATTTGGCAGTTCAAATCCCACCAGGCTCCAGGTTGACTCAGCCTTCCCTCCTTCCCAGGTGGGTCAAAGGAGGACCCACATTGTTGGGAGCAAGAGGCTGATTCTCCAAACCGCTTAGAGGGGGCTGTAAAAGCATATAAGTCTAAGGGCTGTTGCTCTGATGTTAATAATCATGATTTAAGAGGCAGGGCTGTGCTACCCTGAGAGTAATGGCCCACAGGGGACTTCTTCTTCTCCTCTTCCCTGAAGCATCATCAGGGCCAGCTGGCTGTCCGAGTTGGATTTTGCTCCTTTCATCTCTCCTTCTCCCTTTCGACAGGCAGAAGATTTCCGCAGGCTTTGGAAGACTCCACCTCGCGAGAGGGCGGAATATTTCTACCACCTCCGAAAATCCGATTTGGAAAGAGGGGTCGAGCGAGTTGGAAGGTATTTCAGACTCAGTGCCCGAAGCCAGATGGCAAAAGGCGGGGAAGAGTTCTGTTCCAACCTTAAACATTTAAAAAAAAAAAACCTTTTAAAACAAACACGGGCACCAAATAGACTAGGAAGAGCTGCAAGTAAATCGTTATTATTACATACTCAGGTTGTATTTATAGGGCGGACAGACCATTTATTACAGAGATTAAATGTTTGAGAGGGTTGCCATTTTCTTCTAAATACTCCTTTGTGGTTTGACACATAGCCATGGAACATTCCTAGCTACAATGCAGGTAGTCCTCGACTTAAGTTTGTTCAATGACCAAAGCTACAACGGCATTGAAGAAACGTGACTTAACGTTTTTCACAGTTGCAACCTTTGCAGCAGAACTGGCTGGTATTTTTGACAGTTGCCGTGTGATCCTCTTTTGCGACCACCTGACCAGCAAACTCAATAACAACCGTGTTAAATAACTTAAGAACAGCATGATTCACTTAAGAACCGTGGTGAGAGAGGTTGCAAAATGGGGAGAAAGCTGACTTAACCAATATCTCCCTTAACAGCAGAAATGTTGGCCTCAGCTGTGGTCATTCAAGTCGAGGGCTACCTGAAATGTTTTCTCTGAAAAACAATGTATTGGGATTAGTCTGCGAGGCTTAAACACTGTCTGTCCAGTCGTTCCTGTCTTAAAATGGTCCCTTTTGGAAACAATCTTATTTTTTAAAAAATTATCATTCAGTGTCATGTCGTACTTTTGCATTAAGGGTATTTCATATGCTGGAGATCTTTTATAAAAGTTATAGAGGAAAAGAAACGTTTTTGGGGGTTAAACTTCAGTAATTACTGAAATAAGTTTCTTTGAGGAAGGGGACAGGATGGTGTGAGCAGACAAGTTGTTAGAAACAAAAGAATTGGCAGGAGTTGCAATTGGCTACAGAATTAGCCCTGTAAAACCTGGATGGCTTTGAAAATTAGCCAGAAAATGAATGTTTGGGAAGATGTGTATCCTAGTGAATTTAGTCGCTGAAGTACCATCTAAATGTTTCTTAACCTTGGCAATTTTTAAATAGGTGGCCTTCAACTCCCAGTATTCCCCAGCCAGCATGGCCACCTATTTTAAAATTGCCACGGTTAAGAAACGCTCATCTAAATTGTGGTTTTTCCTTCCCTGTCCAATTTACCCCTATTTTATTTTGGTCTATCCTATCCTATTATGGCTGGGAAGAAGAGACAATGGTGTCAACCTTCTTGTGTATGTGTGTGTGTGTGCATGCAAATATGTCAGCCTATACTTTCATAGCATCAAGAGGGAAGATGCTGCCGACAAACACGAAAACTGGGTGTGGGGTAGTTTTTATATCACACTGCAATCCTGCGGCGGACGGATTTTAAAAATGTCTTTGAGTGAATTTGTTATCCAAATGAATTTCACGCTGTCACAAATGATCCGTTCTGTCTCCTTTATTGCAGGGAGTTAGCTCACGAGCTGGGGTTCCCGTGGGTCGAATACTGGGAATTCCTGGGCTGCTTTGTTGATCTGTCTTCCCAGGAGGGGTTAGGACGGCTAGAAGACCACCTGAGTCAACAACAGGAAATGAGCAATAATGCTCAGCTAGGAGAAAACGAGGCCCACAACAAACCTCCACAGGCTCATGGTAAGATTGGAAGCTGAAAGTTGAGTGCTTTAAATGGATTAAATCTCCAAAGCAAATTTAGCCAAACCTCTTAATGCTTTGAAAAGTCCCAGCTTGCTGGTTGAGTATAAAATGGCCCCCTTACAACCTGTGGACTTCAGCTCCCAGAATTCAGTGGCTGACTCAGTAATTCTGGGAGTTGAAGTCCACAGGTCGTTAAATATCTATGGAGATTCTCAGCCACCCAGGTCATTGTTGTCCCAAAGGTCTTTTTTTTTTTTTTTAAAGAGGCAACTGGACTTTCTGGTTTTTCTTGGAAGACCTTTCGCTTCTCATCCAAGTCAGAGCTGAAGAAGCTTCCTGGATGAGAAGTGAAATGTCTTAAAAGAAAAACCAAAAAGTTTAGTTGCCTCTTGAATAAAAGCACCTTTGGGGGAAAAGGGGGACATTAGTTGCCCACCCATGGTCAAAAAAGCATTGGTGGTATCTGCGTTACCTATTGCATTTTCTGGGAGTTGAAATCTGTACATCTTCACGTTGCTAAGATTGAGAAACAGTTTTCTCTGTTAGACCAAGTTCTTTAAAAATGAAGGATACCTGTCAAATCGGAGCATGGCACCCCTCCCATAGTTGCAACCCACTGCAGGGAATGGATTGGGAGAGATTTTAATTTAAATGTAAAATAGATTCAGAGGAACCTTCAGCTCTCTTTAAGTAGGAACATTAAGAAACTTGTCAACTCATAAAATATTTCTCTGGTCTTTTAGAGTTGCCAAAGGGAGCGGGGAGCAGTGCAGCAACTTGCAAACCGAAAGCGCATTCCATAAATGTCTTCAAAGATAGTAACTAGGTGACCGAAGTTTCTGCCAGGCAAAATTGTAACTGGAGAGCATGATTGATGACTCCGGGCTATGGGTGTGTCCCATTGGAGAATATGAATTACGATACACCCAGGGGGTGGGGGAAAACCAGGGTCAAGGGTGGCAATAAATGATGTATCTCAGAGTCGGCTACACCCAGACAGTGTTGGACATGTTAACTAATGCCCAATAAATCATCTTTTAAGTTTTGGAAGTCCGGCTAGAGATTCATGATTTAAATGGGGGAACTGCCGGAATCCTGACAGCTAATAGACAAGATCTGTATATAGTCCACCCAAAAAGCCTACAGTTTGGTCCACACCGTTTTTATTTCTGTGGTTGTTACAGGTAAAAGTAAAAACTGCAATTCTGTCTCTGTTGGCGCGTTCCTCGATGACGATGACATGAGTTTGGAAGAAGTCAAGAACAGGCAAAACGCGGCCAGAAATTACAGCCCCGTGATTGCACCCAACGAAGCCGCCATCGGTCCCTTTGGAAGCTCCAAGTGCGACATTCTCTCCATTGAACATACGGGGGCTATCATGCCCAGGACAAAAACCTCCCTCCGGACGGCCGAAAAAGGAGACCCCGTCAGTAAAAATGGATACTGCAGCCCAGCCGCTAGCGACGATAGGACAGGAAGCCACAGGAGGCATCCCAGCCAGGAGGAGGAGGAGAACTTTCAGTCCCCCGTGGCCAACTTAATGGATAAATTTGGCCAACTCTCTTGCCAGGATCCAGCCGTGGCAAGGGAATGCTTGCCAGGCAAGCCGAGCCAGAAGGTGGCAAAAACTTGGAAATGTCCAGAGCAGCTGCCCAAAATGGGCTCCCTGCTTTCTAAGGCAGGGGCAGCTGCCAGGAAGGGCAAGGAGGCCAAGGGCAGAAAGGAAGAGGGGGACCCCCAAGAGGCCGAGGGACCCTCAGCGGAAACCGAGGTCAGAACCGGGGAGAGAAAGCCGCCGGGCACTTTGGATTCACCACTTGGGATGTCCCCTCCTGGTTTGCTAAAGTCGCCGCCTTCAAATGGGAGAACCAAGCAGAGGTTCCTCTCAGGGTACGAAAGGGGTTCGTTTTCTCCCCCCCCACCCCCAAATATATATATATATATGTTTTATTTTTAATTTCTAAACATTTTGAATACAGTGCATTGTCAGAGCATGTCATTAACAAAATAGCAAAAGGAAAACCAGCAGAAGTATCACGATATAGACTAATAATAATAGTAATAGAGTAACTATTTAATTCACTAAGTTCTTCAGTATTGTGGCCAATTGATCCATGTGCACAGAATTAAAAGCAAGAGGTATAGCAATGGCCCTTAGACTTATACACCGCTTCAGTGTTTTCCAGCCCTCTCTAAGCGGTTTGCGGAGTCAGCCTATGGGTCTCCTCGTTTTACCCACCTCGAAAGGATTGGAAGGCCGAGTTAACCTTGAGCCGGTTAGGATCGAACTGCTGGCAGTGGGCAGAATCAGCCTGCAATACTGCATTCTGACCCCGGCGCCACCACGGCTCCTTTAATTTGGTTCGCCGTGAAAGAGCTTGTACAGATGTATGAGCCTGTTGGTGTGATCTATTCACTCCGGGGTCATCCAAGGGGAAAATTGCTCAATTGGAGACACACTCAGCAGAAGCCCAGGCGGGTTTTCCCCTAAAATGCTGAAATATTTCTGGGAGATAAGAGAGTAAGCCTCGGCCTTTGGTGGTGCCTAGCTGCCTAATCCAGCTCTCCTCTCCTCTGCTTAGCGATCAGCCGTCAAAATGGGACGACGACGTGTTAACGGCATTACTCGGCGTAGAGATCGACCCCCAGAGGTACCCTGCTATTTCCAAGTGGAGCGAGGCCGTGCGGGCCTATCCTGCTTCCGAACGGCGAAGGTACATCCATGGGAAGCATGAAACAGTTTGCTAGGCAGGTGGAGGAGCACGTATCCCTTTTGAGTTGGGGTCCCATCCATCCTAGGATGCAGGGGGTAAAAAGCGGCACCCTACCAGTGTTGTCCGTTGTCCTTTCTCCCCGGTAATTAAAACTACTCAGGCGACTAATTTATCTTCTTGAGAAGCTGATTTGTGCAGTTGTGAAAGATACTGAACTAAAATTAACCATTAGTTGGGTTTTTTGCCAACACCCACCTCTCTTCCTCTGAAAAAAAACACACAACTGCTTTCTCCTCCAGATAACATTTTAGGTGCAAAGGAAAGGGTGCTGGAGCCAATTTTGGGCTGTTGTTCCTCAATCTGGGTTACTTGAAGATGGTGGACTTCAACTCCAGGCTTGCTGGGGCATTTTGGGGAGCTGAAGTCCATCCATCTTCAAGTGGCCACGGTTGAGAAACATTTTGGGCAAAGACACCAGTGTTTGCATCTCTTTGCTTTCCTCTGGTGCCTTGTTATGGTCAAGCAACTGTTGGTTTCTTCCTACTAAGACCCGCGCTTAAGTGACAGACAATCTATAAAAGCCACAGCAACGTTTTCCCGTCACAACCAATCGCTCTGCACAAAGAGAGCCGTTTCTCCCACGTTTTGCACTCTAACAAAAACGCTGCCCTTTTCCCGACAGGTGGTCCAGCCCTTCCCTGAAAGGATTCGCCAAGGGCCAAGCCACCACCAGCCCTGCCAGAAACCTTCCGTACTTCAGCCCAGGGAAGAACAGCCCGGGGAAGTATAACGCGGCGGCGGCCGGCTTCTCTCCAGATTTAGGGAGCCCGGGGCGGTATACGCCAGCGTACGTGAACTACATCCTTCTGTCCAAGAGGCAACATTTCTCAGGACTGCCTAATCCTTAGGGTGGGGAATTAGCCACCCTGGCCACGAAAACGTGAAGGAAGTGAAGGAAAATTTGGATGGTGGAAACCTTGACAGGATGGCTTTTGTGACCACTTTTAATTTATTTATTCTTGGAAGAGAGAGGGGGCTGCTGGAATGAGCGGTGGGGGGGAGAAGCATTTCATTTACCTGATCGTCAGTCTTGTAAAATTAGGAAGTTAAACCTGAAAGGCCTCTGAATGGGAAGCCCTAAATCTCGAAGTTTAGGGATTCATAGATAGAAGGGGCATTTTTTGGGACTCATAAGAATTACAAATTGAAGTCCAGTCTACCTGTAATTTTCTTTCTTTCTTTCCTTTCTCTCCCTCTCTCTCTATTCCTCCCTCCCTCTTTCTCAAATCTATCTCTTTCAATCCTTCTCTTTCTCACTTTGTTTCTCTCTTTCACTCAACTGCTTTCTCCCAATTTCTCTCATTTTTCTCACTTTCAGTCTGTCTTTCTCCCAATCTCTCTCACATATTGGGATCCCGGTGACTCTTTAACGCCTGAATAGAGAATTTACATGATCATAACCCATCTTCGAGTTGGGTCGAGATAGGAATAAGCCTCTTTAATCCCAGTGGATACGAGGGCAGATTCACAGTTTGCAATCTGGTCTAATTAGGATCGTTAAGCATAAGGGGACCTACGCTGAAGCTTTTGGAGAAGCCAATGAAAGTTATAGATATCACAGGTTAATTATTATTTTTTCCCCATTCGCCCTTCTTCATTTCTGGCTTTGGGGATGGGATGGAGGCAGACTTTGCAGCTTCCACAGAAAAGCTCCTAAGTGGCAATAAAGCAGTTTTCCTTTCACAGCTAAATTCATCACTGCATCTCATGGGAGCATAATGGCATCGATATTAACTCCGTGTTTGATGAAACAGCTAGAACAGATTACAGCTACTCTGCTGTTATGTTAAATCTCACGCTGTTTAATGATGGCTGGTTTCCGAGTTTCCAACATTTAAGAATGAGCCTGCCCAAATAATGCTTATATTCCACTGCAGGCCTTTTTTTTTTTTTAAATAGCCCAGTTCCATACTGCAAAGCTCTGTTCTTGTGCAATTGGAGATAACCTCTATAGCAGAAAAGGCCGGGGGAAGAGATACAAAATGGGAGAAATGGTTAAATCATAGGACTTGGAGAGAGAGGGATGGGAAGTTATTTATGGCACACTAACTTGAAGTAATCACAGCATCAGGAACTGCTGCATGGTGGTTTCCTTACCGATGTGTAGCCCACGTTTTATATACTACCTGTTTGATGTTTTTGGTACTAAAACTTCAGAACTACACTCAAAGACTCTTCCAGTTTTATTAGTGCCTTTTGTAACTTTTACGTTTGGTATTCCTGTCTTGCTTTTCAATGGGTAATGTTCCCTTATGTATTGAACACATTTTAACTTTCCACTTTTTGCAGTTTTTTTATAGTTTAAGAGATTCCAAGAAGTACTGTAACCATCTATTTATTTTATATATGTAATATAAGTGTCCTATACATAAAGCAAAAATTAAACAAAGTGATTTAAGGATCATTTGGAATAGAAACCAGGTTTAGCAGCAGCTCCCTGTTTGGGTCACCCAGCTTTTGCTATCGATAGCAATCATTCTCCAGAGAGTAGTATAAAACCTCTCCAGGTTTGTACTGAATGACGTATCAAAGGCGAACGTGTATTAGAGGGAAAAAGAGGAATGCGCCAGAGTGCTGTAGTGCAATGTTGAGATATAAAAAAGCCAAGTTTCTAAAAATCCCTTTAAGTGTAGCACGGTTTCTGAAATTTGGCCTTTGTGCTTAAAAGTGCCCTACGCGCATTACACCTGGTCTACATAAATGGTACAAAGCCAGATAGGGCTATTGTAGACAGCTACAGGTTTTGTGTAAAGCTTACTCCACAGCATAAAAGGAAAGCATTCCTGCTTAGCCACTGCAAATTAAAACCGTAGGCAACTGACCAATTTCCTTTGCTTTTGTTTATACTTTTGTACTCAAAAGATGTTTCTGGGAGCACAAAATGTTCAGTTAATACTTTTTTTTGTTGAGATGTCTGAAGAAAGGTCAAAGAATTGCTCTTGAAAATATTGTCTAAAACGTGTAATTTTTTTTTGTCAATGTGTTAATGTGAATTTTAAACGAGCTTATTAAATTTGTTTATTTAAAAACATCATCTCTCCATTAATCAGTGGTTGTTGGTAGAAGGGACTAGCTCTATACTCTGAAGACAGCTGTCCAGGCCACAGGAAGCATGTTAATAATCCCATTCTACTCGGCTGCGGATCTTAGATGCTGAAAAGGATCAGGCAATTTAAAAAAAAATAACTCCTTTGAAGTACAGCCTTTAAAATGTCTGAAGTGTTTAAGATGAGAAACGCTACGGATGACAACTTACATGTCCCAAACCTTTTAAGAATCTGACCCAATGCAACAGCAGCAGCGGCTAAAATTTAACATTTCATAATGCCTGTTATTTTCAATTCCACCTTCCCACCAACAAAATAAAAATCGGATGTCGCACTGCGTAAGTAGCAAAGACCCAGACAAATGTCACGCTTCTATTTTTTGCCTTATGTGAACCTTGGTATTCAGAATGGAAACCTTCGCTTAAAAAAACCAGGGACCTCTTAAATTTTGAAGCAGTCTTGAGTGGGAATCATTTTTTTTTTAATTTTCACAGATAAAGACAAATAGAAATAACTTACATTTTCCACACTGATAAGACACAGATCCACCGGCGTCTTCTCTGAGCACAGAATAACCTCAACCTCCTGCCATTCCAGTTCTGCCAATCCCACAAGCATTCACGAGAAGCCCTTGAATCTGTCTCAAAGTGGCAGATTACTGGCTGAGGGTTCAGCTTCCCCACCCCCCCATAAAAATTATATTTTGCGGTAAGAAGTACAGAAGTGTCCTGGGCCCATCGGAACCTGGTTTAGAAGAGGAGTTGGAACTGGAGCCGTCCGACAGGGATGGACCGGCCACCTTGGAGAGGCTGGAGGGCGATGCTGTTCCGGGTCCCTCAGACATGGGGAGGGGGTCGACTGGACGGAGAGCTGCCTGCCTTCCCAGACACGGAGGGTCAGCTGTTGGCCAGCAGTGGTGCTAACGGTCAGGTCCCCTCTGGTGAGGAACAGCTGCCTCCTCCACTGATCCAAGGCCTCGGAGAATGTAGGCAAGCTCAGAGAAGGCCTGCGAGGCTACTCGGGAGGAGGCCACCCCCACCGCTCCTCACAAAGGACATCTGGAGGGGAGTAACTTAAGGAGAAGCCATGGGGAGTTAGTCCCTGGCGGGAACCATGGTTTGCTTTGGCTTGCGCTCCCCCTGGCCTCTTGCTGGCTTGCCTTGCCTCGCGTGGAAGATCTGCTCTTCACCTTTTGGTCTTCGACCTTCTCTTGCGGATGGTTTCTCGCCTTGGGACCTTCTCTTTGTGCCTGGACTCTGCCTTGTGGACTGGACCTGTGAACCCTGGGCCTTGCCCTGTGAGGGTATTCCTACGCTGGGCTTTTTTTGTGCTACAGGGAGACTGAGGGTGGGGTGGGGATGGATCCTTACCGGTCATTGGCCGGACCATTTGTTGAGAGAAATAAAGGGACTCTCTCCAAAGGCTTGGCCACCTGGGCCAAGACACAGAAGGATAAAACCGAATAGCTTATCCTTCCAATTGGATGGTGGCTTTAGGGGAATCGATGGTAACCCGTGACAATTATGAACGGCCAAGAAAGGCTCCTGTTTAGGGTGGGTTGGTTGGTTTTTTTTTAGGAAACAGACACTTGTAGCAAAATGTCTTCCAATAAAAGACCAAGTAACTAGACAGGGCTTGGAAGAGAGGAGAGCGCAGACAATCCTATGCTTTTATTCCAGCGCGGCTTTGGAGGGCGGCTCCCTCTAACTACAGATGCCGCCTCCAGATTTTTTAATCATAAAAGTATATTTTCCGAGCCCGTGTGCAAATTGGAGCGCCGCTTTCAAGACTTCGCCTCACTCCTCTTCGGAATTACTGGATCTGGTGACTTCTGGCTTTACACCGATTTCAGTACTCAACATGTAATCTCGCTGGACTTCGGAGCACTTCTGGCTACCCCCCAGAATATGAAAGGGAGGAAAAAAATAACCCTTGGATAGGCCACCAGTGGTCAGAGGCCACCAGCATTGTTGTTTTGTAGCCGCGAAGGAGGCAAGTCCTCTCCAATTCTCTCCAACGGTCAGTATCGCACACCACGAGCTACTAGTGCAAAATCTTAGCGTGTAATTAAACAGTCTGAGACTGACAAAAAGTCCAGCTGAGGGAGCCTGTAGCTTTTGAGGGAAAGGGTTGGCCTGACCTGAAAGTAGCTTTGTCTTCTTGGTTCACAACGAGCTTGAGAGGACAGACGGACGAGAAAGAGGCGTTAGTTGATTAACTCTGTATCCTACACAACAATAATGTTCCAATATTACAGGTAGTCCTCGGCTTACGGCCGTCGTTGAGCCCAACGTTTCTGTCACTAAGTTTTGCCCCATTTTACAACCTCCCTTGCAGCTAAGGCACTCACTGCAGTGGATAAGTTAGTAACCCCCAGTGTGAAGCGAATCCAGCTTCCCCGTCGACTTTGCTTGAGGGAAGGTTGTAAAAGAGGACATGTCACCTCAGGACACACCAACGGTCGTAAGTGTGAACCGGTTGCCAAGTGTCTGAATTTGGATCACGTGATCATGGGGATGTTGCAAAGGTCCCGTGAAGAACGGCCGTAAGCCCTATTTTTCAGCACTGTTGTAACTTTGGTCACTAAATGAACGGCTGTAAGTCAAGGACCCCCCGTAATAGTGGTCGCACTATTACTGCATGGGTTCAGGGCTGATGGGGAAACTCCAAAGGAGGCTTACTCAGTTGCGGGTGATCTTCTCTGGCGGCATAAACCCCGTGTCACCCAGCAGGCGGAGGGCCACCCTTCCGTTGGGACGGATCACCAGGTGAGTGATGCTCCCGTTGTTGAGGGATATCCGTAGCCAGCCTTCCGGAGGAAATTGCAACGCTCTTCAAACAGAGGTTTAGAAGAAGAAAAAAGGAGGGTGGGTGGGAGAAACGTTTATTTATAAAAAGAATAACAGGTGGGATAAAAATAAATAAAATCAGGATGCACCTTAAAGGAGGCGAGTTTGTGAGTTCAACTGTTGTCAAAAGCGAACTGGCCTCCCGAAACTAGCATTTTTCAGGAATTCATTATACTGGGATTAAGTAAGAGCCGTATTAAGAATCCTAATTAACTCAGCAAAAGCTTTTTTTTTTATCCTCCCCAGGGGAGCTGAAAGAATCTTTAAAAGAGGGAATTGTTGTTTCAGCAAGATTATAAATATTTCTACAGCCATTGCCCACTTTATCTTGCTCCTCTTTGAGATAACGGTTTCTGAAACCAGCCTCCAACTCAAAATAACCCTGGCAAATACTAGAGCAATCTTAAGTGTAATCTTAAGTAATTAAAAACACCCCGGCTCAAAGTCTAACAATGTTATCTATAATCTGCACAGTTGGATATAAACATGGGCTCAAGCACAGATCAATTCTCATTGAAACTGGTACAGCTTTAAATTTAATGTGCCACCAGGACAATTCCTGAAAATATAGTACATAAAAAGCTTCTAGCATGTTTGAAATAACCTTTGATAGTGGAGCAGTGATTCCAATCCATCTATTCATCTCTTTGTTCCTTCACTGGCAGCCCTTCATGTAAGAAACTACAACTCCCATTAGCCACTCCCCCGGCTGTTGACTGAAGCACCAGAACTATCATCAACAAGGCTGCTTACTGGGGGGAGAGTGTGGAGGCAAAGCAAAGTGTGGAAATTTACTGCTGTTTAATCCAGAAGGGCTCCAAAGCCAGGAATTAAAACATTCTCTTTCTTTCTTCCGTCCGGTTTTTGTTTAAACGATTCCTTTAAATCCCGCTACTTAAGAGCGAAAAACCAAAGCTCTGAGATAATCCCGCAGACAACTGTTCCAATTACTGGGCCTTCCTAAAATTCCCAACCGTGTGCTAAAAGCATCCGATCTCTATGGCTAATGCAAGGCACAACGTGCTAAGCCCCACTTAAGAACCACAAGGCTTTCGGAGCATTGTTGCCCCAACAAACCCCCGGTATTACCTGCAGACAATATAGCGAATAACGTTCGCGTGACAAACGAAGATTTCGTAGCTGTCCATTTCCTGTGTGATATCGGCTCGGTGAATGTAGTTTCGGAACGCGGCCTCAATGCGAGCGCCATCTTCGTAATACTGCTAAAAGCAAAAGTTAGGTGATGGGGACAGATAATTAAAATCTGCACAGATTCCCCCGCTTTTGCTAATCAAAACCAGTGATCGGCTCCCCAACAGATTAAAATCTAGAGGGCCTTGACATTTAATATTATTTAGATTGCTGGAATCTGCAAGAATTAAGGGAACAGGCTGCATAAGTCCTTGAAATCCACTTTAAGGTGCTGAGCCTTCCTTTTTATTTAAATCGTGCTTCGACTGTCCCAGAACCATTTCACTTATATTTCAATATTCTGTAAGAGGCTAAGCTTTAAATTCCTACATTTGCCAAATTACAGAAGAATAGACGAACTGAAAAACAACAACACACTAGAACAATTTTGGATTTCAAAGTAGCAATCAATGAACTTTTTTTTTTGCTGTTAATGCATTATTCTTTTAATCAATATATGCCCATTTTAACAAGAAACACCAGTTTTGATTTAGCGTTGTCAATAAGTTACTGTTCACTTATTGTCACTAAAAGAACAATGAATGGTAAGCTTGGCCAATCAGCAACCTGCTTATCAGTGTGCAAAACTCATGAGATGACACACGCACGTGGAAAGAGAAGCCAGCCTTAAAAGAAACCCTGAAGTTATACCCACAAAAGCTAAATCCTGGAATAGATATTACCACAGCTTCAGGCTTCCAGTGAGAACTGGGAGGATTTGGTTCAATGGGAGCTCCTTCGCGCAGGAGATCCGTGCTCAGCTTGGTCACCCCTGAGGAAGACAGAAAAGAAAGATGTGGGCTACCCTTGTGGCCTGAGTTGCATACAAGCCAATGTACACAAGAGGATTTACAGGCCTTTTGGTCCTAGTGTCTTTCCATAGACACACACACACACGCAATTCTGTAACAGACTTAAGAGACAGATTTATTAGAGATGTTTGCTGCCATTGCTCTGACACAAGTCTTACAAGTGAAAGAGGGCCATCACTAACCATGGATAGATATTCTGCAAATCTGTGCCAGCTCACCAACTTCCTAAAATGCTCTGTCTTGCTTTAATAGCCTTCAAGGAAAGACTATTATCACTTAAGATAGATTCCAATCAATCAATCAATTTTTACTAAAGTCACAGACCAGCACGCACCCAAAATTAATTCATCTTGTCACAGATCCTAAAAATTGTTCCACAGCCTGTTCCTTCCTCCTGTATTTTCAATGTAAAATCTTAACTCCCCATGAAATAGTGGTTTCAACCCTCCTAGATGCTTCCTTGCTGTAAGTTGTTGATTCTTTAAAAATCTAGCAACGAAATGGACGTATCAACCTCCACTTATATTTTAATATTTTGATCCTTCTCCTGTTTGTCACTTCTAGGCATCTCTAGCTGGTACTATATTTTCCTTTCAACCCAATTTTATCTTCTGATAATCAGTCACAGCTTCTTTGCAAATATTCTAGAACAAGCAAAACCAAGACATTTCAAATTTCCAAGTAAATGTTGCGGTCACTTGACACAATATTATCTCTCCGCTCTCAAATCAGCAATTAAATCAACACCAATCTTAAGTGTCCTTTGGACCAATGCTTCTTGTTTGCCTGCCTTCAAAAAGGCATCATGTGGTTCAAGTCATGTTGTATGATGATCAGGGAATTGGCTTACACCACTGCTGACTTGGGACTGCGGGGGTAAACTAGTTAAGATTAGAAATGGGAACAAGAATAGATGTGACTCAGGCATTCAGTTAAAAGAATGCTATCTTTCTCTGACATGCACAAAGAATCTGTATTGCAACTGGAAAAAAAGAGACAACGGTCAGAGTTTAATCTGACACAATGCATTCCAAAAGCTTGATGAAAGCTTAACAAACATAAAAGAATGAGTGTTGCAATTATTTTAAAGATACTTTCCTAACTGCAGCCACATCTGGTGAAAAATAAGTTTGCAACAGTTACGGAGAAGTCCCAAAGGTCCAACTCCCAGAAGGTAACACGGAAAACAGGTCATGGAGAGGATGTGTCGCATCCCAGACAATCCTGCAGATTCTGCTCAAGCATCGCTTGTTCCGTGTCCTGGATAGAAGGGAGGGAACCGCCAATAACCTTTTCTGCTGTCCTCACCACTCTGCACCGCCTTCCTGCCTGAGGCAGTAATGCTTCCAAACCAGACTGTAATGCAACAGGGGCAGGAAAGTGCCTCTACAGAAAGTGGTAAGGACTGGAAAGGAGAATGGGCTTTTCTCATGTGACACAGAAAATGCAGGCGCTGCTGTGCCCACTTCTCCAGCATCTCCCTGTTGAGCAACCGAGCCAGCCTACATGTTAGCTGCACACCCAGAAACATGATGTCACTAACCACGTCCACAGGTGTGTCATTAATACATAGAGGTGTGTGGGGCTGTGCCTGCCTTTTCTGAAACCGACGACAAGCTCTTTAGTTTTCCCTACATTTAAAAATGAGGCTGGGTTTCTTTGTTACACCGGTTACACAAAAAAATGACATGTTCCAGTGACTAGTATGTGGCAAGATCCCTAAGCTGGATCTACATTGCCTTCTCTCAACTGCTGTTGATCTGGCTAGCGTTGAACTAAACCCCTGAGAATCTGCAAAATCTCTTGGATCGCTTTAGGGCTACAGACTTCGAATCCAACCCTCCAGATATAACGGCTCAGAGTATAAGCAAATCAGACAGCTGGTCCTGCCGGCAAGTAGCAAAACTACATAAATGTTGCTTAGCCCAAACTGGGTTCCAAAAAGACACTCACCAGGAAGATGTTTGCTAATAATGTTGGTTGTTTCCGTCGCTCTGGCCATTGAAGAATAGACAATTTTATCAAATTTCAGCCCCAGACTTGCAAGTCTCATCCCGGTCAGCTCAGCTTGCTCACGACCTAAAAAAGTACATTTGTGGATAAATTCCTAAAAGGCACAGAGGGTGTTTTTTTTTTTTCTTCTCCTCCTTTCGGCACAGTATTTTAAAATCAGTACTTGCTGCTTTTTCCAGCTTTCCTGTTTGCATTCTTCATTTAAGGGATTATTTTGCATTGCATGCAGAAGTCGGCAAGCAATGGAAGCAGAACATTTTTTTTGAATAAGGAGTGTATTTAGGCCTCCTTGGCTTGAAAACAGATACCAGAATGGGCTAAGTATGCTTAAAACAAGCAGGAGTCATTTGACTGAATGGCCACTAAGCAAATCAGTCCAAAGACAAATCGACCTTTAGGAAAGAACAGAAGGCTCTTCCTCAATTATACACCAAACAAGCAGCTTCCTCCAGCCTAAATTGCATCCCAAAGTTGCTTTTTAAAGTCCAGTTGCCTCTTGAAAAGGCACCTTTGGGACAACCGTGACTTGGAAAGTGTACCTCTTACCCGTTATCCCACCATACCTACCCAGCTTTGTTAAGATTCTGTCCTTGTCCTGTTGCCCGTCCAGATTGTACTGAGAATGGCGTATGAGGAATATGTGCCTGGTAGCTTTCGTCTTATAGTGGGCTAAGGGAGAGGACGCCTCCTGTTCACCGGTCTCTTTGTTTTTCTTCTTCAAGTTCATGAGAGCCAGGGGTTCCCTCCTGAAAGCAGGAACCCGAAGTTTACATTCTTGCATTAAACACAGCGGACATGCTCCTGGGCTGCACCTTTCTTCGTGAAAGTCGGCCTTAGCAAGTCAAATCGCATAGATATCTCCTCTGTGCCATTTACTATCTCGAAAAGACGGAAGAGCAATGGGCAACTAGAACCTACAGACGGTCCTCGAATTACAACAATCTGTCTAGGGGCCTTTCAAAGTTAACAATGGCACTGAAAAAAGTGACTGACAGTTTTTCACACTAGTGACTGTTGCAACGTTTCCAATGGTCATGCAATCAAAATTTGGGTGCTTTGGTAACTGGTTCATACTTACGACAGTTGCCGTGTGCCGGGGTCATGTGATTTCCCCCTTTTGTGACCTTCCAACAGGTAAAGCCAACAGGGAAGCCAGATTCACTTAACCGGGTTTACTAACTTAACAACTGAAGAGATTCACTTAACAACTGTGGCACGAAAGGCCGTAAAATGGGACAGAACTCACTTAACAAATATCTTACTTCAACAGCAGAAATTTTGGACTCTATTATGGTCATAAGTCGAGGACTACCTGTAGTTACATTTCACATCTTGTATCACTGATCTGAACTGTGTGCATCAAACACCACCAGATTCTGTTGCTAACACAAGTCAGCTTGCAAAAATATATATTCTTAGCCAATGCACAAAGCAGTTCCATATATTCCAAAATAGAGGATAAACAATTTGACTCATTTCCCATCGCTGGATTATTTTTGTTCATTTAAGGGCAGACCCAGTTTTGGCATTTTATTCCTGCTTCTACCCTTCATAATTTATTAAGTACAGTAGAGAAATAAAGGCGAGTCAGAACAAAGCCTTGAGAAATGCCAAAACAAAATGCAGTCAGAAAATGAAAGATAGCTCATCTGTTTGATGTGATGGATGTTTGTGGTGTTAATACACTTTCAAGTAAGCAGATACTGTGTTTCGCTTTCACAACAGCCACCACTGTGTTGAAAAAATAATACACATCTCTATGTAAACGCTAAAAACGGAATCCATGGCAAGGTAAATTTACAGGGGCTAGTTATTAATATCAATTCGCTATATGCCTTACTTTCTGATTTGCAGAAACAATATTTTTTTTCTTGAAATCTGTATCAATTCCTAGTTTTAAAGAGAAATTTGAACTAGTTTTTTTCAAAAAAAATTTGTGTAAATAAAAATACAAATATAAAAAAAATACCACCTATTTAAAGGGAACCCCACTGAATTAAGTCAGGCCCATTGCAGAGAGGCTCTGGTCATATTAACTATTGTTAATCCTAGTAGCATAGGATACACAGTCATACCAACTAACTGTTCAGAAAAGCAGCTAGGGACACGAACAACATACAAGCAATATCATCCCTAAAAGAACTACTTGCCCATAGCTAAACAAAATTGCCAGATATCTTTAAAAAGTTCTGCAAAGGTGACCACATGAGAAACCACAAATGAGTGCGCACAGATTCAAAATAAGACATTCTGCATGTCACAACAAGCCCAACCCCTGGCTTGGATTCAAGAAATGATTTATTCAAGACGGTTCTCTCTTTCCTAAAGCACAACCACTCCTGGACATATGCAATTAGAAAGCATGCACCGGTTAGTTCAGTTCTTCCTAAAAGATGCTGATTTTAGAGTTTGTTGTTATACGTATGAACCCGGTGCAACCAAGCTGCAAACCTAGACTGGATCCAGTGCCTCCACCTAAGCCGATTAAGGGCTTTTTGCTTACCCATACCTACACTGAGACCAGCAGCTCCAACCCATTATGAAATTAAACGTTAGGAAGGCTTTCGTTCAGATTTAGTGTTAATCTTGAAGGGATCAGGCAGAAATTAAGGCTTAATTCTCTTTTCTAAGTGAATTAGTAACTGCAGCATTCTGAGAAGCATAGGTATTAATTCCCCCCATAGGGGGGAATTAGACCGTGGGGCTCTGGGAGTAGGGGGGTCCTCTGGGCATTGGGGGGTTAGACTGTGGGGGGAGCTCTGACTGTGGGTGGAGGGCGCCTCCGGGCATGGGAGGGGTCTATATAACTGGGGGGGGGGGGG